CTCCCCGCACAAACCCCTCCCCCCCCCCCCCCCCGAATTTTTTTTTTAAATTTTACTGAGGGTGGGACCCCACTCTCTTTGTTACTGTTTGGGTCTGGAGAGCAGATGGTTTTCAAAGACAAGGTGCATTTCACCATCTTGTCACTATTTAGTCCCAGCCAGGCCCTTTTCTGGCTGTCTGGTCTGTCTGGTCCCTGTAGGCATTATTCAGTTTGCTGCCTTTGCTCCAGGAAGTGCTCCCTGCCCCATCTCTTTAGGCCAGTTTGGTAAGTCTAGTGAGAAATGGCTCATTCTGGGGTGTATCTCGGTGTCAGGCTGCCCGCTCTGGGGTGCTGCGTTAATCAGGAGAAGAAAGCCTCGCAAAATTGAGGTACATGAGCTGTGACTTAGCTCGGAAAGTGATCTCCAGCAAAGGCAGGTGGCATTAGTAACTGAGAAACGCTTGGCAGTATGGCACTTCTGGCTTCTGGAAGACCCAGTGGTCCGCTCACCTGAGATATATATGGTTTATTGAGGAGCCAGCAGACCCATGCAGCCTCTCCCTGGAAGACTGGTCTCAGGGAAATCCCCTTGAGTGGCCACAATTGAGGCCTTAGAACAGGCAGTTTGGGTTGTTTTGTCTGATTGCCTTGAAGTATTGATGGTATCTTGGCACTGAGATGTGTGATTTCTTCTTTGAGGTGCCTTTTCCTTCCATGAACCTGTTTCTGTCTTCGATTCTTCCTGAGGTCAGAGGTGATTTGTTGCAAGCAGAGGTTTCTTCTTCTTCTTTTTGTTTTGTTTTGTTTTTCTTTTTAAACAAAACAAAACAAAACACACTGCTGCTCTGCTTTTGGTGGGGAGGCATTTTGAAATGTCCATGTGATGACAGATCTGAGAAACCCCTCTATTTGAAGCCTGGAAAATGATTAGGAATATTCCAGTGTGATGAAAGAAAGCAGAACTAAGATTTCTGATGAAATTTGGTCATTTTGGAGGTAGTAGTTCCCAGGTTTTTTTTTGGTCTTTTTAAGAAATCTCACTTGGTATAATCCATAGGGTGTTGTGCTCCTGACCCAAAGGTGATGTCCTTCTGATTGTTGAAATCCACCATGCACTCGCCAGAAGGATGGGCTATTATTTCCGTCTCTGTGTGATTTCCAGGCTCTGAAAACCTTCTGGAAGGTCAGCAATGAGTCAGTTCTAACTTGATGGCAATGAGATTGAGTTTTAGCTGTTTCTGGAGAGACAGTGTAGAGCGGTGGACATGTCATCTGACAAGTCACTGTATGTTTGGATACTGACTTTGAGATTTCTTAGTCATACTAACAATGCCTCTTTCCCCCGCCCCCCATTTATGAAGTAGAGCCATTGATAGTATTTCTCCCTAAAGAGTTGCGGAGACACTCAAAGTTGGAGTGTCACGTAAGGTTCTTGGACCTTCACACAGCATAAGCATGCAGAAAACATCAGCTCTTAGGATCGTCCCCAAGTCCCTTGATGGCGGAGTAGCTGGAGTGAGAGAAGACCAGCTCTGCAGAGTCCCTTTTGCTAGGAAACCAATCACCAGGGGACAGTCCAAAATCCATCTGTGACAAACATCTGGTCACCCTATGCCACTCCTTCCCAGTATACTCTGCTTGAACTGGAGAAGTCCACTGGAGGAGAAATGAGAAGAGTGGGGCAGATTGATCAAACATTTTACCACAGAGTCTATTTGTTTAAAATAGGATCAATGTATTTTAGAGAAAAAAGACTTATATTTTATTCTCTAGTAGAAGTTTATTATTATTAGGTGTTGTCAAGTTGTGTATGACTCAGTGCAACCCTATAAACAATAGCTCTGATCCCTGTCCTATCCTATGCCAACCTCACAGGCTCTGACACTCTTGAGCCCATTGCTGCAGTCACTGTGTCAGTCTACCTGATTGAGAGTCTTCCTCTTCTTCGTCATTCCTCCACCTTTCCAAGCATGATGTCCTTCTTTACAGACTATCCTCTCCTAGCGACATGCCCATTCTTCACCATCCTTGTCTCCAAGGGGCAGTATGCCTTCATATTCTCCAAGACGTATCTGCTTTTTTTTTTTTTTGGATGCAGCCAGATTACTTCTTGAAGGCAAGAATGGTGAAGTTCCATATCACATTATTTTGGCAAGTTTTTGGGGGGGGGCAGTCCATGGGATATTCAGGACTCTCTTCCAACACCGCAACTCAAAAGCATCAGTTTTTCTTCTGTCATCGTTATTCATTGCTCAGATAAGTTAGCAACGCAGAACTCCAGAACTCTAACTAGGTTCCTTTCAGTTCTTTTTTTCTGCTCCATCATTCCCTAGGGAGGATCCTTTATTTCACTGTCCAAGAAAGATACCAGAATCCCAGTCATCACAGCCTTCAGCCAGAAGGACGGAAGCGAGGGACACAGAAAGGCAAAGAACATATTCTTGTTTCACTTTTGGAAGCCTCTGTGTGCTCTTGGTTGGAACGTAACGCATGCCCACACCTTGCTGCAAGAGAGGCTGAAGGACTGCATTTCAAAAGTAGAAAAGGGAGGGAGGATACTCCGGGGTTGAAGAGATTCTTGGGTGGCGGTGTACCGCGTGACCACAAGGCAATGAAGCTGTTGAGTAGGGCTTCCATGATCCATATTACTGTCATGGGAACTGGGATGGCTTTGGGAGAGAAAGACTGAAAAGTCCATAAACCACGGGAAAATATGGATTTTTGTGTTTTCAGGAGAGCTTAAGTCTAGCTATTTTTTACTTGTGTCATGTCTTTGCCACATTACTGCTCTCCTTTTATTTCTGTCTTCTTATTTTTTAAAAAGAAAATCATTCTGTGAACTTAAGATTGCAGTTGCTGGGAGATTGGGGCTGTGACCGTCTTGGAAAACAGCCTAAATTCTAGATTGGAAGTGGGGTCTCTCAGGAAAGCAAGGCAGACTTCTCTCTGTGACTTTCTGAACATGCCATGGAACTGCCAAAGATCAAACAGGTATTTTCGTGGAGAAAGTGCAACCAGAGTGCTCCTCAGAGGCAGGGTTGATGAAGCTTCATCTCACATACTTTGGACATGTTGTTAGGAGAGGCTGTTCCTTTGAAAAGCAACAACACACTCGGGAAGATGGAGGGTCAGTCAAAGAGGGGAGAACCGTCAGCAAGGTGGATTGATACAGTGACTGTGTGGCAATAGACTGAAGTGCTTTGGGGATGATAAGGGTGGCACTGGATATGACATGGTTTAGAGCTGTTGTTCGTAGGGTTGCTGGGAGTAGTACTTGACTTGAAGGAACCTAACAAGCACTGCAAACCTACATTAGGGAGTCTGGTGCTTTAGTGGCAAGGAGCTGTGTTGCGGTTTAAATCTACCAGCTGCTCCTCAGGAGAAAGCTGACCAGTTTCCTCCATTGCAATTTACAGACTCTGAAAACCTGCTGGAGGGGCCGCTTTGAGGCAGTTCTGTCTTGCTGGCACGTAACAACAACAAACCTGCATTTGTGCCCCAATTCTAAGTAAGACAAACATTAGGGTGAGCTTATAGCCTACAGAGCTTTTGTAACTTATCAGGGAGGGAAATATTTATATATATATATTTGGCTGTAATTTTTTAAAAAGAGGAAACAGCTCAATGGCAAGAGAGGGACAGTAAAAGTCAGAGGTTCAGAATTCATAGCTTGGGTTGGATTCAGGCAACTGGATTTTCCCTCAGCTGCCTGTTGTTGTGTGACATTGGGCAAGTCATTTGTCTTTAG